TTTTAAGTTGTCAAAAGCATTTTTCATGCATTCAAGTAACAATAAAAAATATGCTTGTTAAGAGCGTATATTTTAGTTAAGAATATTTGTCAAACATGCAAATAATAAAAAATGCTTAAAAAGAGCACATTTTCATAGTTGTCAACAGCATTTGTAGTATTGATAACTAACAAGAAAAAGAGCTTTTTATTTATGTCACAGAATACCAAAACCTTTACAACAGTCAATTTTGGCAAGTGTCAATGTTTGACAAGTTTATAAGGTGCACAGAATAGGACTGATAGTGTACCATATATAGTATATGTAAGATATACTATAAAAATTTGCGTCATATGTTAACCGCCAAAAATGTGTGTAAGAACTATTTTTGTTTTAAAAGTTGATTTCCATCCTCTTTTTTTTAGTAAATTAATTTTTTGATAGATATTATTTATTTATATAAATATATATTATACAACATAATTATCAATGTTATAATTTTACTATCGCATATTCACTAACTGTCAATCTTAAACAGTTTATATAGATCTCTTCAGAGTTTACACAAAACAGTACCTTTTGATTAATATTTTATAACCAAACCATTAAAAATCATTTAAAAATCATTATAAATAATTCTTAATCCTTCCCTCTGGATGTGGTACAATCAATTTACGAAATCAAAGAATTTATCCACAATAGAGATGTTTATGGTTTTAAAAACCCAGCATTACGAGCTACTTATCGGTTAAACGGTTTTTTGTAATCATTAAGCGCAACTTAAGTGGTTGTAAAGTAGTATAGATCATATCAAGCAGTTCACGCAACGTGACTACAGCATGCACTGGCGTTTATTTCCCGGAAGTAGGTACCAGACCTAAGCTATTGGTGTTGTAGTTTGTAGTTGGTTGAGTTTGAGTGTCGGAAACTTACATCAAAATACTTTCTCGTATATTTTAGTATGGTTCATGTTCAATTAAACTCAATTGCAAGTCTTTCTTAATGAGTTGGGACATTATATATTTATGTACTGTAACCAATTTTGTCTGAGTGACATTTAGATTTGATTTTCTTTAAGCTTAGAAATTTAAATTGCTTTCGGCGTCATTACATATTCACTGAAACAAATCACTTAAGTCAGTGTATCCGAAAAAGTTTCTTAATATTAATTATGTCATTCAAGATATTTTCATAGTTATATGCAGTTAAGAAGACATGTCATATGTATATCCTAAATACAAAAAAAAATTTTAAATGAGTTAATCCATTGTTGAAATGTAACAGTTTAACCCATTTTATGTGAAACTGTTATATGATTAGTATTCATCCTTAAGTCAATATATCTTTCGACATATCATCCACCCTTTCATGGTATCACAAATTTTAATGTGTTTAGCCATATTTTATAATTAAATACAATCACAAACAGAAGCGTGCAATCTTGGGTTTGAGTACCTTTTCATTTCAAAATCAAACAAATTCAGGAAATTAAGCTACTTTTAATACTTATCAAATTTGATAGTCAAACTTCTAATAGTCAAACACTTACGTATGTAGTCGTATGTAGTCGTATGTAGTCGTATGTATATTGACTGCCTTTTCTGACTGACTGTTGTTGTAAGTCATTTAATAGTTTTCATAATTACCAATTTTGGTAATAAGTTTAAAATTTTATCTTTGAAGTTTTGATATTACTTATTTTACACATTTTCTACAACATTTAACTTAATGTGTATAAATTTATACATCCCATGTATCTACATAAGTATATCTCCAATACGAAGGAGAGGAGTATAAAACTTATTTACAAAGGTGTAAAATGTCTTTGTGTGTACGAAAGGATATTTAAAAGCAAATATAGAACTTGAGAAGTGTCTTGCATTTATGTGTAAAATTTTATACATAAGTGCCAAGTTTACTAAAGCACTTATCTTTACTTAATCCTTTTGCACACACACACACAAGCACACCATCACAAATAGGCATTTATATATTTGCAAATATGAATATATGTTTACTTAGCATTTAAAATACACATAAATTCAAAAACGATTTAATATTTCCGAGTAAATACACTGATTTCTCTGGACTGTGGACTATGGACTCTATACTACGTCAGTGTGAAAAGTTCTGCATTTATTGTTGAAATGTTAATACGTTGTCCATTGGAGTGGACAAGGCGAAAAGGACCAAATAGTGCTATTTTGTTAGTTCAACGATTATATTTTAATTTTAAAATTATTTTATGAAAATTTGTATAAATTTTACATGATTTTCCTTATATATTCACCCATATTTTATAAAATATCTCGCCGGTTATTTCAAATCGCTCAAAGAAAGAATTTGCTTGCAATTCTTGGCAAGTTGCAGTATGGATAATCGCTTTGTGAAAGTTTTCATAAATATAATACTTAATTTTAAAATGATATATAAGCTTTGAATTTAATATTTATATTCTTTTCATTTATATACATTTATTTAATTTAGTTTTATAATTTCATTTCATAATACATGAGTATATACGAACAAAAGGTTTAAAAAAATTAATTGCAATTTCAATCTGAATAATTATTAAAGTAAAAAATATTAATTCAATGATTTGTATTTACAAAACTAAAACTAAATATTTTAAATAAATTAAAAAAAATTATTAATAGTCAACGATTTTATATAACTAAATTTAAAATTAAAAACATTTCAGTGTTTATTTTTTTTTTGTATTTTTTTTTTGTTTTAATGAAAATTTTATTGTTGATTTTACTTTTAATTTTATTGGAATATATATAAGATATTTTATGTTGTTTAAAATATATTTATTTATATATATATTTTGTTTAAATAAATTTGTGCTCTCGTTCACACTTAATTGCAAAGATTTTTTTTCCATTTTTTTGTATATTTTTTTTTAATTATTTGTTTGTTTTTTTTTTGTTTTTTTAATTAATTAATATATTATTATAAATTATTTTTTTATATATTTTCTTAGATAGTATAAAATATTTTTTTATCGAAAGTATAAAAATTGTTGTTTATTTTAATTTTTTTTATTTAGTATTTGCTTCATTTTGCTATAAGCTTTCTTTAAATTTTAATTGATTTTAAATATGTTTCGTTTGGAAATAATTTTTACTAATTAATTTAAAAGATAATTTTTTTTTTCAGTGTAGGTGTGGCGTTTGTTGTTATTGTTGTCGCTGTTGTTTTTTTTTCAATTTTACCATTTCACAAAATATAGAAATTTTAATAAAAAATAATTTCCTTTTTTACAACGCTTCAAATTTGTATACATGTATACATGTATACGTTATATATTATTTATTTTTGCTATAAAGTGTTTCTTTTTAATTTTAATTTTTCAAAATTAAAAAGATTAAAACTAAAATATATATATATTATATATATATTAAATATATATGTATATATGTTGGTATCTTTGCTATTTTCCGATGTATCTGTGTGTGATTTTACATATGTTACTAATGTATATAATAAAGAGTTTTATGCATTTTATTATAAAGATTTATTTTCATATAATTTATTTATATATTTTATTGTATTCTTTTTTTTAGCAAAAGCGGGTGTTTTTCTTTTAAAGCAGGTAAAATATTACTTGGCAGGATTATTTTATTTTATTTTAATTTCCTTTAGTAAATATATAAGAATATCTATAATATAAGTCTATATCCATAACATATCTATAATTTATATCTATAATATAACAATAATTAATTGAAGTCTTGCTCAAATTAAAATAAAAATTATAAAGGAATTGCAGAAAAATGATTAAAAATGACATCATCAAACTATGTTAATACTTAACTTCTTAGAAACTATCCTTTAGTTTTAGCTCCTAACTCTTGACTTCTTCTTTTAAAAAGAAGAGGCTAAATTGTTAATTGATAGCAACTAAATATTTGAGTTCATATTATATACTACTATATATAAAATATTCTATATTTAACTGAGTACATATTTCAACTCTCTCATAAGGTTGTATTATACACTCAAAGAGGCACTTCTATTCTTACGTTTATCTCATTCTTAAAAATTTTTTAATAAGAATTTGAAAATATAGTATGGTTGTCAACATTTTCTTTGAAAGTATCTTTAAGCTCTTTTCACGGAATGATCATTTATTTAAGGATATAGAATATAT